TTATTGCGTAATTATATCGTGCACCAGGGCGCACAATGCACAATGCATTGTGCGCCCTGAATAATTTTTTTTTTTTTTTTTTTTTTTGGAAATTTCGTTTTCAAAAGTTCCCTGTTTCGTATGTATAAAATTGTATAATAGAGTACGCATAAACTCTTAACATAATACACATAATCTAAAATAATACATAATATACCTAAACTATTAACATAATATACATAAACACAAGTGTTAAAAAAAAAATAATAATACACATAAACTCTTAACATAATACACAAACTCTTAACATATATAATACACAAAAAACACAAGTGTTAAAAAAAAATGTAACGGAATTGAACGAACGGAACAGTGTCCGTCACGTCAACTTCCCACCAACTTATTAAAACGTCGTCGTTTTGACTAGGACGCACAATGCATTGTGCCTGGTGCACGATATAACGATTGGTTGATTTGTGAGACAGGTTATAGAACTATATTTGGGTTATAAAGGGGCTGCCAGTGCTGGATTGTTATGCTGTGCATCTGTATGCACCATGCATAGTGCATACGGATGCAAAAACGACGTCGTTTTATTAAAAACACGCATCCCACTTAAAAAAAATTCAGTTTCGATTCTCCTCAACAGCATTATGTTGTTCATAGATTCTAGAATTTTAGTTCATAGATTCTGGAATTTTAGTTCATTGATTATGAATATTTAGACGTGAATCGAAACTGATTTTTTTTTTTCATTCATGCTGGATATTTAGTTCATTCATTATGGATACTTAGTTCATTCATTATGGATTTTTAGTTCATTCATTCTGGAATTTTAGTTCATAGATTCTGGAATTTTAGTTCATAGATTCTGGAATTTTAGTTCATCGATTCTGGAATTTTAGTTCATCGATTCTGGAATTTTAGTTCAAATTATGCACAATATAATGTTGTTGCTGGGAATCGAAACTGAATTTTTTTAAGTGAGACGCGCGTTTTTAATAAAACGATGTCGTTTATGCATCCGTATGCACCATGCATGGTGCATACGGATGCGTAGCATAATTTGCCGCCAATGCTTCACCCAACCAATTGATAATTTTATTTAAAAAAATAATTCATGTAGTCCCAAAAACTTACTCCCAACATGTATTCTTATTTGTGTTTAAATTTGATTGGAAGAAGAAAAAAAGATATAAATAAACATGTTGCCCGATGTGCGGCCACGTGACGGAGACAACGGAGCACCTGTTCGGCGAATGTGTGTTTGCGAGAAATGTATGGGAAGCAGATGATGTTTTGCAGGGGAGAAAGCTGCTTAGTTTGATGGACTTCATGATTGGTAACTCGCCCACTGTTGTGTCTGTTAAGCTAGCTGCCGTCTTCTGGACCATTTGGCGCCTTCGCAATGAGGTTGTCTGGCACAACAAGACGTTGCCCGTGGTGGAGGCTCGCGAACGAACGAAATATCTCCAAGGGACCTGGGCAACAGCCTTTTCCACAACACATCTACCAGCCAGACTCGCCGGTAGCACTGGGGTCTGGACGCCACCGCCTCGGAACTCCATGAAATGTAACGTTGATGCGGCTATTTTCGCGACTGGGGCTAGTTTTGGCGCTGTCATACGGGATCATAATGGCAGTTTTGTTGCAGCGAAGAGTGGGTGGTTCGATGGTGTTAGCGATCCGTTCTTGGCCGAGGTTCTTGCAGCCAAAGAGGCTTTGGCTTGGATCAAAGAGCAAGACCGAGAAAACTGCTTGATAGAGTCTGACTGTTTGAATTTTTGTAATATTTTTAATTCCCGCAATGTTGATTTTTCTTACGTAGGTTTAATTGTGAAGCAATGTTTGTCGATTGCTAATGATATGGAGACTGTAAGGGTGGTCCATATTAAGAGAACAGCGAACCGTGCGGCTCATGAGCTTGCTCAGGCAACCGTTTCGGAGTCTGTCTCGGGGGAGTGGGAGTTTATCCCACCGACTTGTATCGCCATTTTATTAAGTCATTAATGAAGGTTTTTTTTTTTTTTTTTTTTTTTTCTTTTTTGCTTTGGTTCAAAAAAAAAAAAAACAATAAAAGCATTCTAAATTATAAGGAGTAAAAAATGGGAGTATGAATTGAGAGTACATGTAAAATTACTATTTTATTTAATATAGTACCGTCACTGGCAAGACAACTAATTAAATTTGGGCAGACCTAGTGGGGGGCAAATTATGCTATGCATGGTGCACACGGATGCAAAAACGGCGTCGTTTTACTTAAATAAAAAAAATCATTTTCGATTGCCGTTAGTTACGTAGACATATATTCATAATTTTATAATTTCACATTCTGGATTTATAGTTATGAAATTATGGATGTGTAGTTATGAAATTCTGGATTTATAGTTATGAAGTTATGGATGTGTAATGATGCATGCAATTCTGAATGTATAGTTATGAAGTTATAATTTCACATTCTGAACGTATAGTTATGAAGTTATGGATGTGTAGTTATGCAATTCTGAATGTATAGTTATGAAGTTATGGATGTGTAGTTATGCATGCAATTCTGAATGTATAGTTATGAAGTTATGGATGTGTAGTTACGTTATGCAATTCTGGATTTATAATTATGAAGTTATGGATGTGTAGTTATGCAATATAATTCTGAATGTATAGTTATGAAGTTATGGATGTGTAGTTATGAAATTCTGGATTTATAGTTATGAAGTTATGGATGTGTAGTTATGCAATTCTGGATGTATAGTTATGAAGTTATGGATGTGTAGTTATGCAATTCTGAATTTATAGTTATGAAGTTATGGATGTGTAGTTATGCAAATCTGGATGTATAGCTATGAAGTTATGGATGTGTAGTTATGCAATTCTAATTTTTTTTTTTATTTTTTTTTATTTTTTTTAAAGTTGGATGTCAAAACGATGTCGTTTTTGCAACCGTGTGCACCATGCATGGTGCACACAGTTGCACAGCATAACGCTCCCTAGTGGGGAGGGAGTTGAGGTGTTTTCAATTCATATGATGTGATATATATGTATACACACTAATTTTTCACGTGCATTTTGCAAATGAGACAATACCAAACGATTATTTTTAAATAAGTACTTCAAAGTATATCTATGTAAGATTATATATGAGATGTTCACGCATAGATAATTGAATGCTGTATTTTTTAATTATTATTTAAATCAGTAATTCAAAGTATATGAATGCAAGATAATATATGAAAAATTGATTATAATTATCACTAAAATAAATGTTTGCAACTTTGTAATAACGTTAGAAAATAAAGATAATGTAACTAATAAAATTATATTTCTTTTTAATTTTTTTCTATAATGAATATTTTATTTTAATTTTTTTTAAATAAAGACATTATAGACATCTAATTCTAAATTAAAAAGATGTATATATATATATATATATATATATATATATATATATATATATATTATTTTTTGGTTGTATCTACTAATTTATTTAATTTAATTAAAGTAATGAAATGTGTGCTTACTTTCCATCCACGTACAACAATGAAATCATTTTTTTTTTATATTTTTAATGACAAATTGTTTTGAGAGTCTGTCAATGACAATTATTACAATTGTTGTCAATAGAGGATGATAATAAATAATTCGATATATATATATATATATATATATATATATATATATATATATATATATATATATATATCTACAATAGATATTGTAATAATTATATAATAAAAGTTAACTTACACATTTCTTTAGAAGTTTTTCATACATTGATAAAATTATGAAAATGATGTGTAAACTTATTCAATTGAATCCACTGGGATGTCAACATTGTGCATTCTTTGGACAATCGTCCTACCGTTTAGAGTCCAAATGTATTTGTATTTCTGATCAACAGCTTTGTAGTTATATGACTTATATCACACAGGTCTGACAATGATGTAAGAACAATTTTGTCTGATAAAAAAATAATAGTAAAATATGTGTAAAGTAATGTACAATTGTACCATTATAGAAATACAGAAAAAAATATTACTAACATAATGATCTGCAAAAGCATAATTGAAATATTGAATCTTGATCTAAATAATCAAAGGAAAAAAAAAATTAACCTAAATTTATTATTATTTTTTAAAATGCAAGAAAATGATTTCAAGGTTCCTTATTTATAATCTTTGATGCTCAACTTTGAATATTATGGATAGTTGGGCTAATTATTTGACCAAAGTTTATGTTAAATTTTATATTATAATTTTAATACATTCTTACATATTCATATAGTAGTATATATTTAACAATTATGTCAATATTGATTGCGATGTGATTTGAACCTAAGACCTTTCTTATAGAAATCAATGAGTAAGTTAAAAATAATAAATAGTTAACGGATATTCCATTACTAAAGTTTATACTAACGGAATGCAGGGTTATTTAAGTGAACAAAATAATATAATAGAGGGTAAAGAATGAAAATCATAAAAATACTAAAATCAAAATAATCTGGACATTATTTCATCAAATAATTTCATGGACATTTTTTAGTTCTCGTTATTGGCCTAACTTTATTAGATCTTATTTGTTATGCACCCGCGCGCACACACACACACATGCAGTAATAGCGTAATAGGCTTTAGGTAAATGATGTGGTTTAATCTCAACCCTTGATCTAATCAAAATCAACAGCCTAGATTGAAGAAAACTTTTTAAAAAAATGCAGTGACAATTTGCGTATTGGTCAAACTTAAGGTGCGCCGTTCTCCTTCTTAAGGTGCGTCGCTTTTCTTCTTAAGGTGTGTGGTACGATTTTTGTGCTTATAGTGCGTTAGTTCTTCAGTTGAGAACTTAAGGTTCATTTTTTTTTGAAACTTTAGGTACGTCAGTCTAAAGCTTAAGGTGCGTCTTTCCATAGCTTAAGGTGCATCGTTTCCTTCTTAAGGAGCGCATATTTAAAGCTTAAGGTGCGTCTTTCCATAGCTTAAGGTGCGCCATTTTCCTTCTTAAGGTGCGTATACTTAAAGCTTTAGATGCGTCACTTTTCTAGTTTAAGGTGCATCAATTTAAACTTAAAGTGCGTTGTTTTATACCTTAAGGTGCGTATACTTAAAGCTTTAGATGCGTCACTTTTCTAGTTTAAGGTGCATCAATTTAAACTTAAGGTGCGTTGTTTTATACCTTAAGGTGCGTGGTTTTATAACTTAAGGTGCGTAGTTTTATATCTTAAGGTGCTTCAGTTTGAGACAGTTAATCATTTGCATGCATGTTGGCAGAAGGGCATATGTTTTTTGTTTAATTTTTCTTGATTTGTGACTTTGATTAGGATTAGATCAACGGCTTAGAATTTATCACATCTTTCACCTGGGAGAGTCTTTGCACATAACTAATATATATATATACACATTAAAGTTCTACCTAAAGTACATTAAGGATGACTTTAATTTTTTTTTTTCTATATTTTCTTCCTCACTTTTCATTTAATTGTACAAAAGTAGAGAAAGAGAAGAGGAATGACAAATTATTAAATAATTTGAGTTCAATAATGAAGTATCAAAAGGAGACAAAAAAATATCTCAATTAAAATCAAATATGATATGATAATAAGGCATAAATGAAAGTGTTCAATCATTCGCCAAAGCAAGTTCACCGACAGTTATGCTATGGATCCGGGTTAAAATACACAATTTATATACTGAATGTCCATAATTTACAAGCTGGATGTTTTCAATTCAAATTGTGAACATTCAGTATGTAAATTATGAACATTTAGTATATAAAATTGTGAATATTCTATATCTAAATTGTGAACATTCAGCATGTAAATTGTGAATATTTATTATATACAAATTGTAAATTTATTCAATATTTAAATTGTGTATTTTTTTACTTGGGTCCACAGTATAATTTTTCCAAGTTCACCGCATGCTAGCGAAAGTAAGCAGGTAGCTTCGCAAATCTGTGCTATAAATGGTTGATCTTAGAGCAAATACCATCACCAGCCCACCTTGAAGTACAGTGCAACCATTTCTCTTATAAACACGAATTCAATTACTCAACCCTTCAATATATATATGGACCACAACGGCAGTGAGGTACGTATGCTTGTTTGATCTTTCAGCTGCCTCCTTTCTTATTACTATTTCACTTGTTCATCTTGGTACTATTTTATTTTATTCCATAATATTACTTCTGGTTGTTTGTTTTTTAAAAAATAAAATTAAACCCAGGCTTTCTTTGTTACGTAGCTTTATTATGGTCCTATTTGGTAAAATAGTTAGCTTATCAGTCAATTTTAATTTATTTCACCACTATTAGTTGTTTGATTTGATTAAACAATTAATATGATGAGTGTTTGATTATTTAGCTTTTTATAATAATTTATTGTTCCGAAATGCTAAAATTCATAAAGCTAATTAAAGTAGTTTTTTCGATCAGCTTTTTGAGAAAATCATTTTGCATGTATTCAGGTATTATTAGCTAACAGCTAATTTACCAAACACTTTTCTACCATCAATTAATGCTATCAACTAGTCAAACACACTAATCCAATCAGAGTAACAACTATATATTTACCAAACACCCCCTTTGTGAAACTTCATGTTTTAAAAATATATGTAGCTCTTTATTTGTGAAGTTTACCTACTTTTTCAATTGTTTTGGCAAGCCTAGTGCGAGTTACAGTAGTCGTGAAGATAGATATCAGAACAGTAATAACATGTTAAAGAGTTTATAAAGGATTTTTAGTGCGAGTTTGACCTGTTTAACCCATTTTATACGCGGGTTGGGTTGGAGGTTTCTCAAACTCGGCCCTCCACCTCACTCCACTCCAAAATTTATCTTTAAATTTATTTTGTGTAATTGGAATTTGTATTAGTAATTTAAAATGTTGTTGATTACAATGATATCTGTTGGTTTTATGATTACGAGTAGTTATCGGCGGTATGAGATGATAATACTGAATTTAAGAAAAATGGAAACAATGAAGGAAAAATGGATAGATGGAATCTGATGAGAGAAATGTTGGTTTCCTTGACTTATTTTGAATGAAGGGTTAGGGCTCTTTATATAGGCGTAGCACCTATTTTTCAGGAATATAATATTATATCAATAATACAATGAATATAATATTACATCGATAATTTAATGAATATAATAATCTATCCAGCAATAATATAATCTTGATGGGGCTGCTTATATCGGTTGTTATATCATGCACCGCGCGTCAGACACTACGGTATGTCTAAACCGACACTGTCTCACGTATTATTTTTATATTATCAAATAAAACTACAGTTATATCAAAATGATACTATAGTTGTGGTGAAATGAAACTACAGTATATATAAAATAAAACTGAATAACATTTCACATATTTGAGTGTATATTGTACAATAAAGCTGTAATTATATTGAAATGATCATGTAGTTGTGTTTTAATGAAATTATAGTGTATATAAAATAAAATTAAATAACATGTTCACATATTTGAGTGTATAAATATTGAATGAAACTGTAGTTATATCGAAATGAAACTGTAGTTGTGTCGAGCTGAAATTGCAGTGTATACAAAATGAAACTGAAGAACAAAGTTATTTTTTTTTTTAAGATTCTGTTTCTTTTCATTAAATAAAACGACGTCGTTTTGACAGTGTCAATTTAGATACACTGTAGTATCTGACGCGCGTTGCATGATATAATTTGCTTGCTTATATAGACTGGGTCATCATATGTTTTGGGCCTTCATCTTTACAAGCCATATATAGTATCATAACCAACAATATACAATTTCACAAGGAAAAAGGGATCGTTATGCTGTGCAACCGTGTACACACGGAATTAGATTCATAATTTCTATACTATAAATTCATAATTTTTATACTATAGATTCATAATTTCTATACTGTAAATTCATAATTTCTATACTATAGATTCATAATTTCTATACTGTAGATTCATAATTTCTATACTGTAGATTCATAATTTCTAAACTGTAGATTCATAATTTCTATACTGTAGATTTATAATTTCTATACTATAGATTCATAATTTTTAAACTGTATAGTAATCAAATTATGAACATATAGTTCTGTGATTTGTGAATACAGAGTTCAACAATTGGGAATATGAACATTGAAAATTATGAACATAGAGTTTTGTAATTGTGAATATAGAGTTCAATAATTATGAATCTATAGAATAGAAATTATGAATCCAATTTCGTGTGCACCATGCATGGTGCACACGGTTGCACAACATAGTTTGCTAGGAAAAAGAATATGGAAATAATTTATTGGAATAATTTAAATTGGAGTAAATTTCAATTTTGGTCATATGACTATAGGGGTCTTGTTAATTTCAGTCATTGACTTTTAAAAGTGTCAATTTAGTACCTTAACTATGCAATTTTTGTCAAATTTGGTCACTCCGGCCAAATATCGCCGGAAAATTTTAATTGTTAATATAATGAAGGTATTTTGATCATTACACGTCTCTTTTCTTCTTCCCAGGCGAGTCCATCCCTTCCTCTCCCGTTTCCGGTGAATGCAATGAACTAAGATGATGGGGAAAGGAGGCTTAATGATATTAAAGATAGGGTTTAGAGGGAGAAAGAACGCTGGAAACGGGAGAGAAAGAGATGGACTTGCCGGAGAAGAAGAAAAGAGGCGTGAAACGACCAAAATACCCTCATTATTTTAACTATTAAAATTTTCCGACGAAATTTGGCCGGAGTGACTAAAATTTACAAAAATTGGATAGTTAAAGTACTAAATTGACACTTTTAAAAGTCAGAGACTGAAATTAACAAGACCGCTATAGTCATATGACCAAAATTGAAATTTCCTCTTATAAGTTAGTTTTTTTTTTTTTTTTGAAAGGAGCCTGTTCGGCATTTATTCAAAATATGCTGAAATAGCAGCTGGTGGACTTGAGTCTGAATACAAAATAGTCGTCTGAGTAGAGGCAATAGATGCTAGAGTATGAGCTAAATAATTATCTAATCTAGGAACATACCGAATTAAACAGTTCTCAAAAGCCAATATACTAGTCCTGCAGCTATCAATAGCATAGCCCAAGTAAGACCGTGGTGATCGAGTCGTAGATGATAGATATTGTTGTAATACTAAACAATCTGTGAAGAGCTGGATAGAGTCTATACCGCGATCTCTCAACCATGACAAAACTTCTTTGCACGCTAGGGCCTCCGCCATTAAAGGTGTAAAACAATCTGACATAGGGGAGGTCATTGCGGAAATATATCCTCCTTGCGCATCTAGAATAATTGCACCCGCTGCCGCCTTGTTTGTTCGTGGGTCGTATGCCGCGTCGAAGTAGCATTTTAGGGGAGTCGCGTATGGCACATTCGGCTGCTGTTGCTGTCCGTGTGGCTGCATTATATTGCTGCTCAAAGGCAGCCCAGTTTCTGCCGGTTCGACAGTGACACCCACGGCATTTTGCTGCCGTGTGGTTGGGGCTTCGACTTGATCCAACACGGCCGCATTTACCTGCGGCTGTGTATGTGTCGGGTGCACAATTTTCCAAGAGTGTACAGCTGAAGACGCCATCGCAATTACCTTCTGAGGTCTGGGCAAACATGCGTCCCACACAGCCTCATTCCTCGCACGCCAAGTGTAGTATAGAATTGCCACTGCATAAATAATCTCATTATCACCTAAAACATTCATCAAATCATTAAACCAATCACTGAAAACATTTGTGACACTATTGGGGATTGGAAGGTGAGATTGTGTCCAAATGTTTGTTGTATAGCCACATGTGATCAAAGAATGCACAATATCCTCATGTGAAGCCCCACACATAGCACATGTTGGATCAATATCCACTCTCTTTATAAGTAGATTGTTTGTAGTGGGCAAAATATCATTCAGAGCTCTCCATATAAATGTCTTCCACTTTGGTGGGATTTTGAGTTTCCATAAAACCTTCCATTTATCAAAGGTCCCTAGTGGTTGGGAGTAATTGCCCACTAGTTTCCTATACCCATTCTTGACAGAATATTCACCATTTGGATCTCCATACCAGTACCACAAATCATCATACTCAGGTGATACAGGTATTTTTTTAATTCGTTCCACATCCTCCGATATGAAAATATCTGTTAGAATATCCGGATCCCAGGTTCCAGTTTGTTGATCCATTAAGCCCATCACCTTTGCCTGCGCCAATTGGGGTGGTTTTTCTGTTTGTATTCTCGGGTAGTTTTCATCATGCAACCATGGGTGGTCCCAAATCAACGTTGTTTCACCATTCCCAATCCTCCTCCTCACACCCCCACAAATTAACTCATGAGCCGCCAAAATACTCCGCCAGCAAAAACTCGGGTTATTACCCAAACATGCATCATAGAAAGAATTTGTGGGATAGTACCTGGCCTTATAAACTCTCGAAACTAAAGATTGCGGCTGTGTCAGAAAACGCCACCCTTGCTTCCCAAGCATAGCAAGATTAAAGGCATGTAAGTCCTTAAATCCCAGACCTCCATACTTCTTTGGAATACATAGTTTATCCCATGCCTTCCAATGTATACCTTGGTCATTCTTGGACCTCCACCAATATCGATTCGTGGTTCGCTCAATAGCGGTGCATAAAGTCATAGGCAGTAAAAAAACACTCATTGAAAAGGTAGGCATTGACTGGGCCACACTTTTCAATAAAACTTCCTTTCCTGCTTGTGATATCAATTTCTTATTCCATGAGCTGATCCTCTGTCTTATTTTATCCTCAATATAAGAAAATGCTGCCCTCCTATTTCTGCCCACAAACGATGGAAGTCCTAAATACTTCCCAAAATTCTGAGCCTGCACCACCCCCAATATATTGGCAACCTCATCCCTTATCTCTCCACGTGTATTCTTACTATAACAAATATTCGACTTATGATAATTGACTGCCTGTCCAGACATCTTCTCATATTCTGATAAACATCGCTTAATTACTTCTGCCTCCTGCACATTTGCCTTGAAAAAAAGTAAACTATCATCGGCAAAGAAAAGGTGGGTAATAGAAGGTGCTCCTCTTGCAACCCTACATCCATGTATTTCTCCTTTTGCCTGCGCCTGCTGCAATAATAGTGA